CTGTGACTTCTTCAACAGTAGTCATTTAGAACCGGTTTAGCGAACTTTTTTAATAGGGCAATGAAGCTGGACCCGCTTTTTTAACAGTATACCAATGAATAATAACCTCGTTTTCGACTGAAATATGTTCGACCTTTTTGAAAATGCGAGAAAAATGTGTAGCGTGCACATCTGATCCGTTGCTACTTTGAAATAAAAAGCAAAATTGTGACAGAGAAACATAATACAAAACTTTTCTTAACAAAATAAAACTGCAGAAATTTCCTGATGCTTATTACTGAAAGGAATCAATAAGAAAAACAAATAAATGTTGTGAAGGGAGAAGAGATAGGGATAGCTGTTCATAACAACAAACAATAAGCCTGATTTCATTCTTTGCACAATAGGTTTTTGACACCGCCTAACTCATCGCTAATGGTTTCAGACTTGTCTATGCAGCTTTTGCCAACTTTATGACCGTCTAATGCTAAAATGTCGCTTTAATCCTTCCACCATTTCAAAATGCTGCCTTTGTGCTCGCGGATAGAGTAATGCATAACAAGGCACTTTATAACTGCACTGCTAGGAATTCAGAAGATTCAAAGCCACCTCTCGCACAGTTTCCGTAATAATAATTCCAAATTTTTTAACCATTCTGGAAAAGTGGCAAGAGAGGCTTCTGAAATGCTGAAAGAGGACTGCTTTAGAGCATAGACTCGTTTCATGTCATTTGTCGAGTTCCCTATACAAAACTAAAGACTGTGATTACATAGGTATCTTTAAGCAAACCGGGAGACGATCAAGAAATAATAGAGCTTTAATTAGGCGAACTGGACAGGGAATAGACCCGAACCTTGCGGATTCCTGAAAATGCGTCTGTAAAATGCTTGCACCATCCAAAACAGAACCCAGTGATACGAAAGGAGCGTTGTGAAATGACTTGGAGAAAAGAGCAACACTTTAGCTTTAGACCGTCAAGTTAGCGAAAGCTACATAGACAAGTCTAAAGCTACCAAGATGAATTAGGCGACATAGAGAATCCTGTAAACAAGAAATGAAGTTAGGTTGACGATGATCGAAAAAAAAAAACATATTTGGGGATGAACGGCTTAACTCCAACGCCAAAAATAGTACAGTGGTGATTCACACACGCATACAAAAAAAAAAAAAAATTAACAGAAATAGTAGTAAAGGACTTTCAACAATATTCTAATGAATAACTCAGCAAGGGCACAAATAACAATAAAATTTGGCAAGGATTACGCGCCTCAAAAATGTGGAGAAGACAACAAGGCCAAAACAACTGCAGAACTCTCCCAAGTAAGCCAGGTAAAAAGCCTTGATTTAAACATAAGCTAAAATTTTTTTTCCGAAGCAGTTGGTCCACGCCTCTCCGGCATTCCGCCTATAGCATGCAAAGAAACCTTATCTCCATTTTACAAATGAACCCCTAAACGCATACAATGGAGATCCCATTTCGCGCTTAAATTTTTAAATTTTTGCGACGAGCCGCTGAAAATTCAACTCGACAACAATGAACTCTGGATGAACTTTTTGCCCAACATTATTAAAAATGAAATTCCATGCAACAACTCCGCACACGTTGTAGTTCCCTCCTTCAATTCCATTCTACGGAAGTCCGATCATAGGTGGGAAATTTTGCAAACGTCGTTCCATAAAATGAAGCTTTTACTGTATAAGATAGTTCATTCAAAGCACGATATTCCTATCTGAGCAATTTCCATGTGTTTATAGAAAGTTCACAAACTGAAAAGAATCGAGTGTTCTGCGTAGCGCATCTATTTTTTGGGCCGGTCCGCTTTCTGATTAAGGGCCTGTTTTAATTGCAGAAGGTTTTTCATCTGTCTAGAGTGTTCATTTTGAAGTTTAACAAACGTTCCGACAGCTACAAACTAATTTCAGATTGAACATCCTTACGAAAAGCCCTCCGGAAATGCAAAAGACGCTAGCAAACATTGAAAAAACCAGTAACTCAAAAAAAGGCAAAATCACCCCCTATCGGACCAGCTAATCCATATAACTTACTCCTTGAGCTATGTAATGACTACGGACTGATTCCATAATGAAAACTAAACAGACGAAAATTCTTTCAAAACGGATGCATGCTAGTGTAGAAAAAAACAAAAAGCTTGCACAAAATACTGAGTTAAAAAACACAAAGCCTTAACATAATTAAATAAGCTGCTCGTACGACATTCTAATGACTGTAGGGCCATCCTAGAATGAACAGTATAAGTACAATGAAATTCATGCGGAACCTTGACCTTGTCGAGACACACGTTTGAAAAGTCAGAATTTTTCCAGCAAAAATTTATTTCGTGCCGGTATTACCTTCACGAGTACTTTGGGGATGAAATGCATTACATATTATAAAGTTGCGTTCATTTATAATTGTATTGCCAAGAATTTTCGCGGCGGAACCGTGATTACGGTAGTGCGGCGGGCTTGGAGAAACATAAAAAGGTGGCGTTGGTTTAAATTAAGGCGTATTTACCTGGCTAATATCGGGAGTTTCGCGGGGATTTTAGCATACTTCTGTTCGACACATTTGTGGCTACAAAACGCTGCTAAATTTCGGTGATTTGTGAGGCCGTGGTCAAAATATTTGTTTAAATGTGAAGTGATAACCAATTTCTTCTGCTCTACTTGTATTACTATTTTTGCTGAGATATAGGCGTCGTCATTCCTAATTTAAATTTCGTGGCAGGACCAGAGTTACCGTAGTACGGCCGGCC